CCCGCCCACCCCTGCACTGTCACAGCCCCAAACGCTCACAGCTCTCCCTTTGCCTGCAGGGCCACCAGGCAAAGCCGAGTTTAGGAGACGGCTGTGCCAATGCCACCGGAGGAGGTGGCCGTGGGGACACTTACACGTCCACCCCGGTGGAGTGGAGGGAGCTGTGCCAGTTCACAGGTAGGAACTCCACCCGGCCGATCTGCTGCTGCTCCTGGGCCTTCCTGAAGTGCGCTTGCAGCATGCTCAGGGACACGTTCCTGAAGTCATTCACTGGGAAGAGAGTAGGAACTGTTACTCACATTCCCCAGGGCAAGGCTGCTGCTTAATAAGATCAAAGAAAATCCCACCACGGTCTTCAGTCTGCTGGTGCTACCCGTCAGGCTTCCAGGCAGAGATCGCCCCTCCTGCAGAACCGAAGCACTCCCGGCAAACAGTAACAACAGGTCAGGCCAGAGTTACTCGGCCGAGTACCTGTCCCCAGTGGGTGCTCAGAGGAGCCCAGTGATACTTCTCACACACTCTCCTAAACTCCAGGCGCCTGCAGCCTGGGGATTTTCTGAGCCAGCAAGTGTCCCTGGTTTTGGTCGCAAATCTCTCCAGAAGCTGCGGGACGGGGCGTTGCCTGTCAGCCTTCACCCAGCGAGATGAACCCGTCGCAATAGACTGAGCAGGTTACTAATGAGTGCAGCAGGTTTAGGCAGTTCCTTGGAAAACCTGCATCCAATTGGGGAAACTGGCTATTTTGAGCAGGAGAGTGACGAGAACTGGTTGCCCAAAACCATTCCAGATGGCAAGATTTAATCGGTTAGGGAGCTCTGCATTCACACTCCCCGCCTCAGTCAGCAAATTCGACCGCGTGGCCTGCCGACCCAAGCGTCGGGATGGTTTGAATGCCCTCCGACAGCGTTTCCCATTGTCCACACACATTGGGGTTTACTGGCTCTGCTAAAATCAGCGCACGGGCAGGGCAGCCTGGCCGGGCTCCACACCTACCGCACTGCACAATGCTCCTGAAGCGAATGTCACACGCGGGGCCGATCCCGTGCACCACGAACACCAGGTGGTCGATCTGCAGCGGCTCTCCTGCGGAGGGAAGGAGAGCTCAGAGCACAGGACATCTTTTCATGGGGAACCACGTGCTCTGCAGGAGAGCGGAGCCTCGAGCAGGTTAAAAACCCTTCAGTTTAATGCCTGGGGTCTGTGCCTAAAGAAGAGCCACTTGTTCTCTGCTTCCCACACGTGTCACGTTGCACACGGACTTTACTGAGGGCACTGAGGCATGGAAAATGAAGGGCTTAGATAGGAGGAACTGCCTGTCCTCGCTGTAGGGACACATCCTGACCAGCCTTCTTCTAAAAGGATCACGAAGCTTCTGTCTTTTGGAGGAAGCGGGTTGGAACTCAGACCCTCTAGCTTTGGGGGGCTGGAAGGGAGGGATGAGCGAGCTCACCGTTGGGGATCTCAGCAGCGATGTTTTCTACTCCTCTCTTGACAGTCCGAGGCCGACCTTGCTCTGTGGGAGTTGAGCCCCAGTCATCAGAGGTGGCAACCGGGTGGTAGTGCACCATCAGCTTGTAAACAAGAAGAGCCTGTCATTAAGCTGCGCTGTGTACTGCGGGGGAGAGGAGCAACTTCGCTGCCACAGCTGGTAGGTGACCCAGGGTGGTACCAGAGCATGACTTTAACTGTGCTGGTACGAGCCCTTTGCACACAGAGAGCGAAAGGTGCGTTGAAAATGAGCGTGACAGCGTGAAGCCAGCTCTCTGCTGGCACTGCCCTCTGCTCTGGCACAGGCAGGTGAGGCGAATGCTGCTTGGACAGAACTGATTTCTCAGCAGACGTTAAAAGAAACAGCAGAAAGCCAGAGCAGAAAGACAGGTGCTGGAGAGAACTGAGGGGATGTCCTGGCTGGCCAGCACTAAGACCCCCAGGCCCTCCTCACCTTTGGGTTGTGCAAGACAATGATTTCCCTGCTGGGGGACTCCAGTTTCTTCTTCCACTCATCTGTGGTCACAGCAATCCTGTAAGCTTCCTAAGGAAAGAACACCCCTGGTGAGTCAGCTGAAGGTTATTTCCATGAATATTCAACCACTTGGGATGTTCCCCACCCATTCTATGGTTTATCCTATCAATACACTTCGTGAGAGAGGCAGAGAAATCAGCCAAGTCAAGCTGGAAGAGCAGTGGGGTCATCTGAGAACCACCCTCTAGAGAGTTTCCAAGAAGTCCCCACTGTAATAGCAGCAGCAGACTTCCATCGACTTAGAACTGGATTTTTTGTTACTACTCTTTCGGGTTTGTGTCCTCAGGCACAACTGAGGTGCCAGTTGTCCCATGGGGAGTTTGGGACATCAGGGCCAGAATTTGACAATGAGAAGCCAAGATGCTTCTCGGCGAGGTGGATGCTGCCGGGAAACACGTGTTTACCTCCAGTTCCTCACTGAAGGTCTCCGAGTAGGGAATGTACTTGTTGTCCTTGTCTCCCTTGTAGAACCAGGTGCAGCGACGCACTTCTGACACCTCCTCCTCCCAGTACACCGCGACGCGCTGCCTCTTCTTCAGGTACACGTCGTACCTACCCCCCGACGTCGGGACAACCAGGTCTTCCTTGTCTCCCCCTGCAGGAACCAAGGCCTAAAATGAATGGCGAGAGGACCAGGAAGGCACGCTACCCGGCGGCTGTGCGCCACGCCAGGACAGAGGGATGGAACTGGAGCATCTGCTGCGGGCAGCACACACGGCTGCGTACGAGCAACAGCAGCAGACACCGACCTTCTCCGTACCCAAGCACGGGGAATGGCGTCAGCGGGTGTCCCGCGAGAGATGCCCCGAGTCTGAATCCCACCAGAGGCAGAAGGTAGGATGAAGGCATTAAGCTACAACCATCTTCCTCTCTAGTTCAGGCCCAGGCTTACGTGGGCAAATCCTGCCTCACTTAGATGGTGAAACGTGAAGCCGTGGCCGCGGGAAGCGTGGAGGTCTCTAAGCCCTTCTCCTTTAAAAGGGAGAACCCCACACAGACCCCAGTAGGGACTGGCTGCAAATTCTGTTAATTCTGCTGCCTTTTGGCTCTGCCTGCCAGGCTTTGCCTCCCGCCCCCACCCGCGGGGGCGGGGGG